TGGAAGAGTTAAAATGCGTCTTCAGGGGTGACTGAGTTAATACTCTATCATCATTGACATCACATAAATATTTTAGGAAGGAAACATTTTTCAGAACTAATGTTACAAGGGTGCCTTTAGGAAATCTGTTAAAACAAATCCTTCCAATTGTATCGGAGTATGCTGTTTCTCTCTGATACATTTGACATGGTTATTNGGGGGGGGATGGGGTCTAGGTAGTCTTATATGTATATAGGTGGTCTCTTAATACAGGTTATCGAAAATGAAGATAATGAAAAATGCCATGCAGTTAAAAAGTTCACCTTTTTTCGCCGTTCATAATGAGGGCAAAATTGTCATAACACTGAGAGTACCAGTAAACAACATCATATACATAGTAATTAAATGTGCAGGGGGAAATTAATATTGGGGAAAATTAATACTGCACTGAAAATTACTTCATTGGCAAAGGGCAAAAGTTTGACTGGCAAAAATTTTGGCTATATAGTATTAAGAGTGGTCTCTAAACACAGGTGGTCTCTAAACACAGGTGGTCTCTAAACACAGGTGGTCTCTACACACAGGTGGTCTCTAAACACAGGTGGTCTCTAAACACAGCAGCTTAAATTGACTGTACTATACAAACTATTATGAATCTTTGTGATCAATGATACTAGATTGAGATTGTTGACAATTTCCATCTAATCAACAACAATTTCAACTGTTCCCTCGTTACCAATATCCACGATTACATATTGACACTGTCAGCAGCTGGAACTCAAATCTCAAACAGCATTGTACCTGCCTTCTTTTCTAGTGTGTTCTGTTGCTGATCATTTCTCGTTAGATTATTTTCAATTGAAAGCTTCTAATGTATTTTAAGAATTGATCAATTTCATTTGTGATGGAATTAAAAGCGTGCTGTAAAAACTCCCAACATCCATTAGTGGTCACATGACATAATTGATCTCTCGGAAACATTCACACGACAAATAGCGTCTGATTTGCGTCAACAAACAGTGTTTTCTACATTCGCCATTTTCCTGCAGCTACACCAGATTTGCTACAACTACTTTTTTTTCATTTTTTTTCCCGCTGAGCAAATATTGCCTGACAAATGGATCATCAGTTGATGTTTGATATTGGAGGCTCGCATCACTTTACATTCCAGTATCTTCACAACCGGGATGTCAGACAACACAACCGTCAGTGTGCCATCATATAATACCTCATCCTGATACAACTCTCGAACTACAGTCAATGGATACCCCTCCCTGATACAACTCTCAAATTATAGTCAATGGATACCCCTCCCTGATACAACTCTCAAATTATAGTCAATGGATCTTAACATTAATGTGAATAATGGGACTAGTTAATGATCTGGTCTGTGATTTTTCAAAATATGCAAAATATGAAGACTTTTTTGAGGGTATTATTCCATGATTTTTCAAAATATGCAGAATATAGGGACTTTTTGAAGGTACAGTCCATGATTTTCCAAAATATGCAAAATAATGGCACTTTTTGAGGGTATGTTTCTTGATCTTTCAAAATATGCAGAATACTGGGAATTTTGAAGGTTTGGCCAATGATTTTTCAAGATTATGTGATTTAGCAAGGCAGTTGGAGGGATCAGTTGCCATATTTATCAGTTAAAAGAGAAAGTAGCGGTCCTGTCAATCCAGTACATCAGACAATCAGATCATTCAGTTATCATATCATCTCTGTAATTAAAGACTACAACCATTAACATTCCAGACATTCAATCTCAAAACACATTTTTGTAAAAAAAATACATGAAGCCTGACGATGACCAGATCCAATTGAATGTCAAAGCTTCCCTGTCACTCGGACTATACACCATTCAAGCTTTTCTGTCACTAGGATCACATACGATGGACACCCTGTAATTTGTATCTCACACTTTGTGCCAATTATCCAGCAACATTATCTGCTGTTTTTATCGTCATTATTCTATATCATCTGTCGATTTTCTTGTCTTTATTCCATATAATCTGCGGATTTGGATGTAGTCATTTGATATTGATATCGGTAAAACACATTTGACCATGCTGTAATTCTATTCCTATCAAGTGCAGATCCAGAGTGTCATAAAAACAATCAGGTTTTATCAGAATCAATGTGACAGGCGACTGACCAATGATAGCATGGTCGTAAAATGATGAGATTTCATTATTGGAGATTATGGACAGTGTCCAGTCCATCAAACACCAGCGGGTCAAGTGAAAATTGCCTGCGTTATGATAGGTAAAACACCAGAGATATTGAACACTTAGTGCTGCCAAATGTAACGTATCTCCAACCAATCACTAAATAATATTACCAAATTAATTTTTGTATTTACGTTAAATTCAAACTTTGTTATCCATTTATACATCGTTACATTTTGGCATGATGGAATTGTTTTGTGTGAATTCTTTTCTTTAAAAATTGTTTGTGAATCTATATGCTTCATTTACACAAAAATTGATTCCCTTGACAAGAGATACACCATAACAAATTTGGTCCAAAAAAAATCCCATACTTGAAGAATAGTTTTATAAATCCTCTATTACTCCTTTTGGACCTGAAGTATCTACCCCAATGGGACAAAATCTGTCATGTCACATATGGTTAAAATCTCTCCTCTAACATTAAGGCAGGGTTTTAGTTTATCTCCATATGGAGGTATGTGACCTCCAAAAATGGCTTTCGACCCTAAAAATGGTATATGCTTGCTTTATAAAGGGGTCAGAATGTATTATTTATCCCTGATTTTAACCCCCTAACTTTCATGTCTTGCAAAAACATTTCTTAACTCATTCACCCCAGAAGACACAATTGAACTCTTCCAATTCAAAGGTTGGAATAGTTCAATATGAAATTTCAGGGATGAATGAGTTAAGGGAGAGAATACACCTCAATACTGTGACTGTGGGGTATGGGAGTACCTATCAGTGCTGATACTGGTCTGTCTACACCACAAGGGAAACCATTCCCACTCCCACAAGAGTACAAACATCTCGTAACAGTCCAGCGGCTGAGATTTATCCTGGGTTTACGCGGCTTCTAGACAGAATTTACAGCAGACAGAAGATAAACAATGCAATAGTACAAAGCAAAGTTACACCTACTGTTTTACAGTGTGAGCTGGGACTACCAACTTCTACAATGATAGAAAACATCTTGTTTTCCATGTTAGGTCAAATGTTTAAGCTTGTATAGACACAGATTCATTATTACCAAGTCTGAGGGAGACGGTACAGAATTCTACATGTGGTCAAAACAAACATTTCATCCAGATAACCCATCTTCTCTGTATTGAGAAGTACAGTACCATGCACATTTCTCAGATTTTAAGATGGGACAATGGTGTCGAAAAGCGACAAACTTCCCTCTTTGATAAGTCAATTTGAACAATAGAACCCCTGAAATTTTATAATGAACTATTCCAACCTTTGAATTGGAAGAGTTCAAATGTGTCTTCAGGGGTGAATGAGTTTAACCAATGATGAGCAACACTTGACCGACAGCTTTAGAACTTAGATCTTTCTGTTACTCTTTCATGTGGAAACTAAATTGTCCAAAATCTTGATAAACAGGTAAATTTCATTTTAATATATTTTTTCGATTTCATTCGACAATTCATCAGTATTAAGCAACTAAAACTATATATTTGTAAAATTGTTAGCGATTACTTTTTCGTGAGAAATCAGAATGTCTGATGAGGTAGACTGGCCCCTATCTGTATAAAAGTGAGTTATTCATAAAAAAATTAACTCTAATAATTTTGTTCACTTGGATGTCTGATTCTAGATCCTAATTAGTTTTGGAACTAGGGGGAGATAAGCTAGTAGTAAAACGTTGCCGGGGCTGGAAGCACCATTGTTCAAAACAATTTGTATAACTCAGTGAGGCTATTAACCAAAGAGTCTGAACCGATGAGACCTGCCTTTATAAAGGAGAGAGGATTGAGTTGGTATGAGGAAGGAGGTGGCAAAGTTACCTGGAGTCTCAGGAGATCATATTTAACTCATCCAACCCTCAAACCACATTTGAACTCTTCCAATAAAAAGGTTGGAATTGTTCATTACAAAATTCAGGGGTGTTGAAGGAGGTGACGAAGTTCCCTGGAGTCTCAGGAAACCATATTTAAAGGAATAATTACCAAACTAAAACTTGCCACAAAGACTACATTTCATTGAGTTTTTCAAGTGTTTCACAGAAAATTAATGAATGATGTGATAAGATTTTATTCTATCATTTGATTTTCATAATATACGATCACTCGTTAATAGCCAAACAAAGGTCTCGTGTCGCGATTGCTGCCTGACACGGATAAAGTGACTTGAGTCATAATAACATCACACATTATTATAGCTTCTTTCTAAAGTCTTTATCACCTAATTACAAATGATGAGATTAATTTTTGAGAAATATTTTGCCCTCAGTTGTGTCCCCAGTAACTTCCGACGAGGTGACGGACAAGGTGACGGACAAGGTGACGACAGAATCAAGTCGCTAAAGTCATGACAACCTTAATCGGTGGCGCGTATAATTTTTGTGTGGGTCGTCTGAATGCATGGAGGGCAGATTAGCCAGGAATCAGAAAAGTCCATTTGTGATGAGATTTTAGTATGCCCCGGAGTCCGCTTCCTCATCCCCATAAGGTGTTTGTAATAGTGTCTGGGCTCCTAGGAACAACACAACTAATGGTAAGCCCGCTTTGTTTGGAAGAGGCAAGCTACTTTAACTACCAGCTCAAAATCATATTAAAGTCCATCTTAAAACATTTAGTCTCCGACAGCTCCATTGGTCTGTGAAATATTGTTTGAAGTTTGATAAAAAAACCAGACATTTTCATGCAGGTTAAAAGTGATTTAAAAAAGATGTAATAAAGGGAGAAGTTCATGTGCTTTATTTTCAAATAAATGACAACATTTTTGAAATGACAGACATGTTCGAGTTGATGACTTGGTATAAATGTTGGGTGTTCTAAAGGACAGCCTTTTACTTACCGTACTTAGGATGAATAGAAGTTAACCCGTGAATTCAGATCTGCAATACACTTTCTCAGTTGGATCTGAAAATAAACAAAAAAATAAAGAAATATATTAAAATTTAATTAAGCAACCACAAAAAAAAGAGAAATAATTCACTCTTTTTTGCTGGCTTTTTGTCCTCGTTACAGTTACAGCTGAGTACTGCGGAGATAAAGTACCAAAGATGTCCTGTTAACAGCACTTCACTAATCAGGTGGCGAAAAACTTTTAGTACATAGTATTTTCACTTACAAGAAACAATCATAATAAAACACACAAAAATAAACCTAAAACACACTAAAGTCAACTTTTAACATGTATCATGAAACATGTGTATAAATAGCCACTGAAAGGTTTTTTCAAGACACGACAGGGGTCACCTTTTCATACATTACAATAGCACATGTCTAAACAAAAGGCCCAGAGGGCCTGTATCGCTCACCTGAATATGTTTAAAATAATTTGTATGAAGTGAAGATATAACACTACTTGGTAGGTGCTGTAAGTACATACGAAATTTCAGGAAGATCCGTCCAGTACTTGAGATAAAACAAATTTCAAACAGAGTCCCACCCCTATGCCCCTAGGGGAGGTCATACCCACCATTTATACAAAATTGAGTCCCTCTATTTCTCCTATTGGTTCCGCCTCTCTGCCTCCAGGAGGTTTAGACACACCGTTTATACAAAATTGATTCCCCTTCACCCAAGGATGCTTCATACTAAATTTGAACAAATACCTGTCATTCCTACAGAAGAAGAAGGATTTTAAAGAATAATTTGCTATGTTTCCTCTATTGCATGGGCCCCACCCCTCTGCCTCCAGGAAGGCCACACTCGCTATTTATACACAATTGAGTCCCTTTTGCCCAATGATGGATAAAATCCCTTAATCTCTATGGTAGAAGGATTTTAAAGGTTTTACCTCTATTTCCCCTATTGGGCCCCACCCCTCAGGTCCCAGTGGGGCCACACCCACCATTTATACAAAATTGGTTCCCCTTCACCCAAGGATGCTCCACACTAAATATGGACCAAATCCTTTCATCCCTACAGAACAAGAATGATTTTAAAAAATAATTTGCTATGTTTCCCCTATTGGGCCCCGTCCCTCAGGCCCCTGGGGGGTCAGACCCACAGTTTATACAAAATGGGTTCCCCTTCACCCAAAGATGCTTCAGACTAAATATGGAACAAATCCTTTCATTCCTACAGAAGAAGAAGGATTTTTAAGAATTTGCTATATTTCCCCTATTGGGCCCCGCCCCTCAGCCCCAAGGGGGGCCATGCACACCCTCCATTTATACAAAATTGAGTCCCCTTGGCCCAAGGATGCTCCAGGTTAAATTAGGATAAAATCCCTTAATCCCTACGGCAGGAAAATGATTTTGAAGGTTTTACCTCTATTGACCCTATTCGGCCCTGCCCCTCTGCCCCAAGGGGGGCCACACCCACCTTTATACAAAATTGAGTCCCCTTGGCCCAAGGATGCTCCAAACTAAATTAGGAGAAAATCCTTTAATCCTTACGGTAGAAGAAGGATTTTAAAGGTTTTACCTCAATTTCCCCTATTGGGCCCCGCCCCTCTGCTCTCAGGGGGGTCACACCCACCATTTATACAAAATTGAGTCCCCTTGCCCTAAAGATGCTCCAGACCAAATTAAGTCAAAATCTACATGGCTGTTCAGGGCTAGTAGCGTTTTAAAGGAAAAGTTGACGGACGGCAACAGACAACGGACAGCCGGACCCCGGACGCTGCAGTATAGCATAAGCTCACCATGGTCTGAGGACCATGGTGAGCTAAAAACACGCACTGACAAAAGGAAAATGAGTATTGAAACTGGCCACATACCTTTTATAAATCAAGATTGTAAATCTATCGTCTGAATGCGACATACGTAATCAGATTATCTGGGATGTAAGTGTCATGGCATGCATGAAGGGAAAGTGAAATGATCTGTGACACCCATGAAAAACGTCTAGGAGAATTAGATCTATGCCTTTACTGATGCGTGTGTTGGATACAACAATTTCATTACAAGAGTCTAGGTGATTCAGATCCAACAATAGATAACGTAATTTACCAATCATCAATAAAACGGCAAACACAAAAATATAATTTGTGGCTGATGCTGGATCTGATGCTGTATAGTTTGGCAGTACTCTGTAATTGTCTCTCACAGGAAGTCAATCCCATCTGAACGGGAGAAAACTCAAGGCATGCACATTTCATAAGCAATTATAATCGTGAATCAAATGTAAATTTCCTCGATCTCCTTCACATGAGAATCGAGGCAGACTAGAAACCCAACTAGGCCAGATGTCAATCAGAAACGGGCACAATTGAAAAATTCTAGGATATTGAATTGAATTTTTTCCCCACAAACATCACTCAGTGACAATTCTTTCCATGCTTTTATTGGTTTGTAAAAAAAAAAAACTTTTGATGTTGAAAAAATACATCAAATTATTTTCCTAAATTTTTTAAGAGCCCCCCACACTCCTTTCCAACCCCCATCAATCAAAATAAAATCACTAAAGCGGAGGCACGTGAAAGTAATCCCTTAATTCAGGTAGTGTCTTGATAAAGGTTAAAATCACAAGGAAATCACTAAAGTGGATACATTGACAGTGGTCACTTAACTCATTCACCCCTGGAGACACATTTGAACTCTTCCAATTCAAAGGTTGGAATACTTCATTATGAAACTTCAGGGGTGAATGAGTTAATGCAGGTTGTCTCCTTATTGAAGAGGTAGACCTGTACATGTAACTGACATTTTCTCTACACCAACATACCATGCCTTCAGCACACATTCACACACATATGCACACATACATTACAAACATGTAGGGATGTCCAGAAATGACCTCAGCTGTTAATAGGATGTTAAATCAAATCTACATTTTTGATTGATTGTAACAGTATAAATGTTCATGAACAAGAAGGAATTAATATTTCCACATGTGACATGCAGAAGTATAGAGTGAAGTACCTAATCTGAACTACAGATAATCTCTAAAGGAAACCTGTTAACTTTCCCATCATCATCTTCAAAGAAAGTTCAGGGATCTGTCTTATCTCTAAACTCTATTTATATTATAACAATTGAGTAACATGTTGCTAACTTCTATGTATCACTCTTGTTGGCCTGCCTGGATGTAAGTGTAAACAATCTGCATTAAATAGGTTGCCTTACAAGTGCCAGCTATAGGGAATTTCCCTTTAGCTCTGGGGTAGAGCATCGGGCTGGAGAGTCAAAGGTCGCAGGTTCGAGCCCCAGCGATGGCACAATCTTTATCACTATTCCTCATCCTATTACAAACTGGTGACATTGACCCTCCCTGTTCAATGTAGGAGAATCCTTGACGGGGAGTTAAAGAACCTGGGTTGGTGTTTCAAAAAGGGAGGAATAGTGTAAAAGATGTGCATTGATTAGGTTGCCTTACAAGCGTCAGCTGTAGGGAATTTCCTGGTTCGAGCCCCAGTGACAGCACTATCTTTATCATTATTCCTCGTCCTATTACATTAACATGCAGTGGGTCTTAATGTGGGAAAGTGGTGAAAGGCGAGTGCATTATGAATTGTACCACCCGACTGTCTTATCTGAACAGATATTGGTCCCAGTCGCGTACAGATATTGGTCCCAGTCGCGTTAAGTTTAGACAGGTTCATTGTTATACAGATCACAATATATCTAATTCATTATCAAAAAGTTTTGAATATTTACCGATCACTTAAGATTCCTTGAATTTCATACAAACAATTCTTTTTAACTTAAAAACTTGAAGAGTCCCTAGAGCAAGTCATGTGACTACAATTTAGAGGTGTCCTGATGTGACCCAATAATGTCACCAGTCCGACACAAGGCTGCCGAGTCGGTAATCACCCCACGATGTCACCTCTGTGCCACTTCGGTGGTGTGTATGCAGATTCTAGTACCGCGGAGCTGCAGCCAGAAGTGTGCACGGCCTCACGAGAGGAAACATTACACTCTGTACATCTGTCTTGAACCTGTGACCTCTCTAATGGATAGCTGAACTCGGATATCGCAGTAGTATACAAATGTAGAACGTACCAAATTGAAATTTCAGCTTTTAATTGTCTGTTTTTCCTCAGATGACGTTAATTAAATGTCCCACTAGTCTGATCTGTTTGTTGATATTTGCTTTGAGGACGTTTAAAACCACTTCCTGGAGGTTTTCAGGAAAAAAAATGTTTGAAATAAGTTTTGAAGTATATATCTGTAACATGTAACTTTTAAGTAGGAAATATGATCGGCTGAGTTTTTATGATTTATGATCAGTATAGACCGACATAATTGGATGACATTATATAGCCAGTGGTTGACTGAGAATCCGTTCATATTAAAAATCATTCTTCTACCTCATTTCCAAGGATACCAATGTAGCCTCACACGTCACCTGTTATAACGTTAATGTCATCTAGAGTACGCGTACTCCTTCGTCATTACTTCATATTTCATATTTATCTGGTCATTCTTCAACGATACTGATATCATATTTTATATTTATCTGGTCATTCTTCAACGATACTGATATCAGTTTTCATCTCGTTATGGATGGCATGTGAAATATCTATGAAATTCAGCGACTCTGGAATTAAACAATAAGCATTCAGGTTTTAACATCCCTTGGGGCACCTTGATTAGAACACGTGGATTGTGCCTGGGCACTGGGTACTGAGCATTCAGGTTTTAACGTCCCTTGGGGCACCTTGATTAGAAAACGTGAGTTGTGCCTGGGTACTGGGTACTGAGCATTCAGGTTTTAACATCCCTTGAGGCACCTTGATAAGAACACGTGGGTTGTGCCTGGGTACTGGGTACTGAGCATTCAGGTTTTAACGTCCCTTGGGGCACCTTGATTAGAAAACGTGGGTTGTGCCTGGGTACTGGGTACTGCATGAGCATTCAGGTTTTAACATCCCTTGGGGCACCTTGATTAGAACACGTGGGTTGTGCCTGGGTACTGGGTATACGTACTGGGTACTGGGTACTGGGTACTGAGCATTCAGGTTT